TACAAACTATAATTAATTTTCGCTGACTACAAATAATTTTCGTTCGAGATTTCTTAAATCCGAATCAATCGTTTTCACATGTCGTAATTTTATAATTTATGCATTTAAAAAATATTTTTTAATTTTTGGATTATCGTTTAATAAATCATTTATATTAAATATTTTGATATGGAAAAAGATTTTAAATCCTGTTTGTAATTGTGAAAAAATACTTCAAGCAATAACTTTTATTAGATCTTTGCTTTTTGTCCAAAATGTTAGTTTTGCAGAAGAAATTAACGTCTAAATTCCGTTTTATTGGAGCCGTCTAATTTGTTTGTCGTCGAATTTCCTAGCTGTCAAAAAATAAACAAAATTTTATCAAATAAAAACAATTTTCAATTGCAATAACGTTAAACAGATCAAACAAGCGTATAATCGTGCAACTCAATTTTTTTTAAAAGAATTGAGAATGGGATAAACTGAGTTATTGGGTTGATGAAATAAGCGATCATGATGTTATATCAATGGTTTGAAAAATTATGCAAAAATCAAGCATATGAACAAATATCTGAAAAACAACAAAAGATAATTTGTGCATGAACATCTTTATTTGAAAATTACTGGATTAAAAATAAAAAAGAGCCTTGCAAAAAATAAAAGCATCAGAAAAAAATGTCCACCTTCATATTTCTTAAAAGTGCGCCCGGTCTTTTTAGTAAGCTCAATTATGATAATTAAAATGTTTTTTAGAATCATAGCATTGAAACAATCTTCGCACTCTCTCATACTCTAGAGGTCAAAATGTTTTTTTTTGCAATTTATAGTCTAGCCCGCACTCAAAAAAAAAAGAAAAAATAATTGACTATACTATAATATTAATCGTAGTTTTAGCAAAATTATAATTAAAATTAAGCGCCAATTATAGATGTTTACACCATAATGGTATAATCCATTACAATGTTAGATTTTTGATTGTTGATTATAATTTTTGCGAAAACCTTTTATAATCTCTTATAAAATATTATAATAGATTATAATCACTTTTTCTACCAAAATCTTATCTCACAAAAAGGTCAAATATAATGGATTATAATTTAATTATTTAGCATAAAAGCACAGTAAAATCAAATTTAAAATAAGTTTAAGCTATAAACAGGGGCGGATCTAGAATTTTCTTGAAGGGAGCGGATTTTCAAAAAACTTTCGAAAATTCTATCGATCTTTTTTTAATACGACCAAATAGTTTTTCCGAGCTCTCTCAAAGCACTGAAAAGACCCTTTCAAAACATTAAAAGGCAAAGTTGTAAAAAAAACTGGCCAAAAAATGCATTTTTTTCACTGGCGGTCTCGCGACAAAATAACAAAAATCATGAACTATGTTAAAAAATCCGTAGCAAGTTGAAAAACTTTTACTCATTTGCACCACACTCGATTATGCAATAAGATAAGACACAACAAAAAAAATTTTCTGACACGTTTTTTTGTTCGTTCTTGCGACTTCATATGTGGCCGATTATCCTTAAGCAGTACCCGTAAACCTGTAGATTTTAAAACTAAACATTATGTTCTACTATGTTTTACCTGGCATTTATCTTTTTGAGGCTACCGAATTTTGAATTGATACAAGCCATAGAACGAAAACTTGGTCTATCAGCTGCAAAAATTTAGCCGTTTAATTGCTTCTCATACAATGATAAGTTAACCAAATAAATAAAATAAAGCAAAATAAAAATCATGCAAAATAATATAAAGCTAAATAAAATTAGCAAAATAAAAACCCGGTTTCCGGATTTTTAAAACACTTTTTGGCCGGTTGATTGTTTAGCAATGCGCCCTTTTATGTTTGATATTTTGACATCAACGATCTTCAAACAGATATCACTCGAAGACCCCTAAAATCAATGAAACTTTTAGCAAATTTTTATACGAAAATGTGTTACTACACTTTGCGAAATCTGTTTTCACCAGCTGAGACCGTTTTTTGGCTTAATTTGAGTTTTCGCACCACACCCAATTAGATTAATTTTTCTGTCAAAAGTCAAACTGATCAAATACAATAATTCTTAAAACCAAAAACAGTTTTTATAGTTTTTCGGCCTTAAAACAGCCATGGAATTGAACAGTTGCTGTGTTTGCAGAAAAACTAAATGAGAACAAATTTATGAAAATACTCTGGTTGTTCAGATTCGAACAGAACTTAATCAAGAAACTGATTGTAATATAATTATGATCCTTAGAAAAAAATTAAAATTTACTTGATTAATTGTTTTATTTTACATTATATTAACAAAACATTTCGAGGTAGCTAAAAAAAACTTTGACATAAACTGCAGTTTGATGTTTTAGTTAACCTGGATAGTGCAATTCTCTTCATAATTGGGTTGAATTCTAAATCAAGTTAGCAAAAAAGTCAAGACCGCTATAGAAAATTTAATATTTACGCGCTGCAATAACATGAATTTTGTGAAGAAAACTGAAATTATACTGCAAAAGGCTAATTTTCATGCAATATTTTTCAAAAAAAAATCTATACAGTTCAGGAAAACTAAGAAATTTCTACAAAACGCTGAATTAGGGGAAAAATGAGTCCAACAAAAAGGCCGTTTTTTTTAAATTGTCCAGGCGTTTAAAACGGAATGAAATGGAACTAAGGAGCGATAATTTCCCGCATGATCTTAAGAACCAATTCTCAAAGTTTGCAATGATTAGTTTGCAGAAAAAATTTATAAAATCAAGCGCTAATACGTTAGCATTTGAGCTGTACAGGTATGAAAATTTGGCAGTGGATTTCACTGATAATGTTTAATCCTTTGTATCTAATCTCGAAAACATCAGCTCTACAATTTAGATTCAGTCAAGCAAAACTGTGGAATTTAATGACAAAATTCTGGAATCTTCTGATAAATTCTAGAGCCCAGTAAGCAAATTTCCCTTTGAATTTGTTGACTTTTCAAGAAATTCGGCTCAACGGCTAAAAACGCTTTTGACGCTGGCTTTCAAAACAAAAAAAACTGTGGTTAGAAATTTGTGTATTCGATATTTTCCAATAGAATACAGATACACAAACCGCTAACTCAACTTAAAGATGTTTCTCTGGTTTTCAGACGAGAGCGAGCACATTTTTGTGCTCTGTTATAAAACCGAGTTTGGCGTCGTAATAAAAAAAAGTTGACACAAAATTTCAAAAGTTTCAGATCCACCCCTTGTTTTAGTCATTGTTTCGATTATCTCGGTGTCAAAAAAACTGCTATTTGAACTAATTTATCAGCTCGAGGATGGATAACAAGGTTTGGACCAACTGAACACTCTCCCTCAAAACCAATTTAAGAAGATGATTGTTCACTTAGTTGAAAGTAATATTTTTCGACCAGCCAGATCATAAAAAGACAAAAATTAAGTGTTTTATAATTTGAAAGTGCAAAATTTTTTTAAAAAAGCTGAAATCGTTAATAGTTTTTTTTTGTTTTACCGGGACCAAAAATGTTCTTGAAATTTTGTCGGAACAATAAGTAAAACTTGCACAGCAATTGGTAGATATTTTTTTTTCATATCATTTTCAATATGAATCATTCATATTGAAAAGTACTGCAAGTATTATGAATCAAGTTGATGCAAGTATTATGAATCATTCCGACACAATTTTTTCATTGAAACTTTCAATACTTTTCAATTTTTTAGTTGAAATCATTAAGCACTCCATGAACATTACAGTTTCTTGGGGCAAGTTAGTTCTCTGTTTTTTCAGCCACTCTGTTAGTTCTCTGTTTTTCAGGAAAACTAATTGGGGCATTGACAGCACTTTGGTCTTTCTGAGGCTTTACAGAGAGCACTTGAGGCACGCCGAGTGTTATCTTACTAAAACCATTCAGTCTTGATTCGCATTCCGAAAAAAAGCTTGAAAATATCTCATTCTCGTATAAATTTGTCTTAAAATTTCGCAAAGGTTGATTGGATGTTTTTGTCCAATAATTAATTAAAGAAAAGCATATAAAATTTTCGAAAGAGAGTTTTCTCTGGATTTTTAAATTAGATTTAAAAAAAACCATATAAACACTTTGCTAGAAAATTTTGTGCTAATTTTATATTCTGTTCTCATTTATATTTCACCTTTTTTTGATTTTTTTTCTGCCTCTACAGTTGTTTTTTTTTGTGTTTTCAGTCAGAATTTGATGTATTTTAAACTAAGTTCAAAATCAGGAAAGATATCTCACCAAAATGACCTTAAGTTCTCAATGGTATGTTTCATTGCCTTCTTTTTGTCAAAGTCAACAACTTTTTTTACACGGCGGCAAAAGCGTGGCAGGGAAAAGGAAAAGAGCCTTCTTCTGAAAGTGCTCAGTTGTCTTTTGCAGCAGTCAAATGCGATGGAGCGAGTGCTATTTGACTAGGGTACGTGGCTGAGTCGAGAGGTAATTTGGTAATTTGGAAGCCATCAAATTCTTTTTAATTTGCGCAACTCTATCCTTTTATTTTCAGCCACTTTAAGCCTTTCTCTGCAGACAAGCAAATTTTAAACCCTGTCTACGCGTTTTTTGTTTGCTCCGTAAATTATCCATTTTTTAGAACTAGAAAAAGGTTTTCGAAAAAATGGCTAATGTGTGATGGTTGACATTTGCCTTCATTTCAAACTGTTTTTGGGCTTTGCTATTGAATGAACAGAATCTTTTTTAATTAAATACCTTCGGGTTTCAGTTTCTGCGAGAATTGAAAGCCTATTTAAATTCCTCAGGATAGCGATGTTCTCAGGAAAAGCTTGTCTCCTTTTGCCCGTGAAGTTTGGAGTAGCATAACGTGTAAACATCTATCTGCATCCGCTTTTTTGTTCGCTTTTAGCACTCCTTAATTATTCCAAAGCGCAGGTCTCCCTTCGAAATAAGCTGCGATGTTCTAATGTATTTGTCGAGCAAATTCCCTTGAAACCGGAAATTCCCCTCTTTTGCCCGCTCCCCCGGGAACAAAAAAGACAAGCGAGTAGCCCCATGTTAAGCTGCACCGGTAGGCTTCTGCCCTTAACTAGTATTATTACCTCTATCGAGTAATAACTAACCACAGTTTTGCTCGTTACCAGTTCCCTTACTATTCACATACTTATTACAACACTAGAATAAGCACCGTCTCTGCCTGCGTGTTTTACTGCAACTGAAAATTATCAGCCGAGAAGGAGGAAAGGTCGAAAAAAAAACTAAAAAGTAAAATACTGGTTAAAAAGTCTGCGAATTCCAGCAGTTACTGATTTCATTTGCCTTTTTCGAAGTTAGGCCTGAATGAAAAGTTGTTCAATTGCTCTCCGAATAATTGGGCTCAGAATTCCTCGAGAATACTTCACTGGTATATCAAATGAGGCAACTAGTAGTGTAGAATTTCCACTCTGCTCTGAAATAAAATCGCCCTTCCTGCTTTTTAAGCCAGCCTCGAAGTCAGTTTTTCCCCTAATTTTCACGATTTTTTGTCTCTTTCTTTTTAGTGGTTATTTATACCGCACGTAGTAATAATATCTCGGCGTAACGGTGTAATAACATGGCGTGTTGGTGATGTTCTAAGTACTAACTAGCTAATACACGACAATGAGCAACCCGCCCCTTTTTCCAGACACTTCGAAGAAAGGGCAAAAATAGAACTTCTCATTAAAATTACCATTCCGTTTTTCTTCAATTATTCCTTCTTATTGTTCAATTGCAGCATTTGCATTATAATTTATAAATGCAGTTTTATTATTCTGAGTTCCAGTTGCTGAGTTGTAAGAAGACTGCAGAAAAGCTCTCTCCCCGTCCCTTTTGTTGGTTTTATTCGTTTACTTTGCAGCAGTAGCATACCGGTCTTTCCCAGTTATTTTCCCATTTACCACATGCTTATGTCACTTAGCGAGACTGACATGCTGGGTATATGTTCAGTTTCTAGACGACAACCCTCCCCCATTTTTCTGTGAGACCCCGTGACGTGCAAGCAGCACAATCAAATTCTGCTGCAGCGCACTTAACCGTACTACTGTTCTCTCAGCCGCTGACCGGGGAAACAAGTTGCAAATTAATTCATTCATTCAGTCACGAATCAGTCGAAATAAAACCCTTCAGCGAGGTTTCAAATTGCGTAATTATAATAGCACTCAGGGCCAATTGGCTTTTCATTATTCAGTTCTCTTGTGTAGTTTATCTTGTTTCAACTGATTTATTTCCTCGTTTTATTTCATAGATAACGACATCCAAGTGGTAATAGCCTTTATTGTTTGCATGAAAAAAAAAATAGCTACACACATGGCACTCGATAAAAGTTACACGTCGATTGACAAAAAAAAGCATTTTTTCATTCTAGCCCCGCGATTAAGTAACCAAAATGATTGCACCACCATTTTGGGGAATATAATTGACATGGGTAATAGGCATAGCCAACAATTTTCTCTATTTATTGACAATTGTTGTTGGTGAAAAATGATTGAAAACGAACAATTGTTTGCTTCTGAGTCTAAAAATCATATTTCATACCGAACGGTTTCAAAAGCAAATATTGCGCATCGTTGTATTAAATACAAAAGTTAAACAGAAATAATGCAAATAATGCAACTTTAGGGGAGAAATTCTACTATGGGTTTAGCATGCTGGTGTGCGTGAGCAGACTTTTTATACTTTTTGAAACCATTTCACCAATTCATGTTATTAAAAAAAAGTTTGGCAATGATTTTTGAACCACTTGGTGTTCGGCTCATATTAAATTTTTTTTCCGCTTTTCCGTTAATTGAATATTTTGGAGGACGTTTCCCAGCTAAAAGTAGAAAATTGAGGACTTTTATAACAGCCACTCGACATAAAAAATTTTTTTTCGACAACTCTCAAATAGTTAGATAGTACAAAGTTTTTTTCAGAAAAAGTCAAGACTATTTTTTTCACGAAAAGCCAGTGTTATTTTTGTACAATGAACAAATGAATTGAATCAAATATGAAAAAAAGTTTTATCTGCTATCATTTTAAAAAAAACTGTGAGGTTTGAAAATGGCCAGTTTGGCCGTTATGCACTATTTTATGTGTGCTTTTTTCAAAAAAAAATTGTATGCTGATGAAAGAGTATCGCGAACTATTCAAGCGTAACTGCAAAATATCACGTTCTCGAAGTTATTCCGAATGGCTTTGAAGCAATCTAAGTGGTCTTATTAGTTCCCGATACAATTCAGCTCAGTAGCACTTGTTATTATGTTTTGGCTGTTGACGGGGAAAACAAGCATTTTTCAAAATTAAAGATAATAAAAAAAAATTTTGTCAAAAACTATACGAGACCAGTGAAAAAAAATTGAAAGATTTGGGGATTTGCTCCCAAACAAGAGGTCTTGCTTCTTTTTCAAACTGTTTTTTTAAAAAAATTTGTGGTTTCTGCGCTATTTGCACTGCAATTATCCTATTTTATTAATCCGACAATTTTTGAAGAAAATGACGGAATGTTTGTGCTATTGTTTTTTCTCCGGGCGAATTTTGACTTTTTACCTAGCTTCTTTTGATAATGTATGTAAACATCATTCTAAAAAAAATCGATTTCTTGAGCGGAAAATCATCTGTGATCATTTTTGTAAAGTAATGAGGATTTAAAGATTGCCAGTTTGGGATAATAATTAACACTTGATATATTTATTGCTAATAAAGCTTATGCGGAGATTTAATTCGTCTTAGAAATTGCTCCTATTTTGACTGAGGCAATTTTTTGTTCTATAGAACATTTTGCTTCTTGTAAAATATATCACTTTGTTTTTTAAATAGCTTGTGGGGGATGATTTTAAGAAAAACCTCAACAAAAATTCAAATTTTTTTTTCTTTTTTGTAAGTTTTATCAATTATTTTTAACCACTTCATGGAAAAATAAAAACCCATCGGAAATCTCAGAGCTTGGCTTTGTTATTTTGTTGTCCAGTACAGTTCGCAATTGCTTATTTGCTTAATTATAAGTATATCCCGCTTGACCACTTATGGTTATTATGGAAGGATTATAAAACATACAATAACTCTTTAACCTGGTCAGTTTAACTTTTGAAAAATAGAATAAGCTTAAGTTTTGAGTTTGCTGTTTTTTAATCATGATATGCAACATCGTATTATCTTGAAAAAGCAACAAAACATTTTTTCAGGTAAAATCTATTATAAACTTTAAATTTAGTTGCTGCATCTTGAAGCAAAGATCTTTTTCATGAAATATGCAGATAAACATAGTCATACAGTTGCTGTGCAAGTAGCACAGATTGTTCCGAACACACGCATAAAAAACTCAAAAACTTTTCAAATCAACGTTTTCTGTGATGCAAAAACTATGCGACCTTGTAGAAAGTCAATGATATGAGTACAATCGACATCATGTCTTCAAAATTTATTTAACAAACATAAAAATGAAAAATTTTAGAAAAACTCAATTTTTGCACTTTTGTTATTTATTTTTTGTTGCTAGATGAATTTTTCAAAACGGATTTTTTTTAGAAAAAACTAAGCTAAGTTTTGCACTATTTGAATGAAACGCGTTCTGTTCTAAGAAATACTAGACCGCTTCCTCTGCTCAAAGTTAGATTATTTTTACGGAAATTCTGATAGGTTTCTCTCGACTCTGGGAAACTATTGTCCAAATTAAGACTGAAAAAGCTATTAATTGATCTATCACTCGATGATTATTCAAGCTTTTTTTGTGGAACTCAAAAAAATGAATTACACTGGAAGACGATTTTCCCTCTCACATTCAGTGGTCGGACCTCATATTCTTCCTAACATTCAACAAAAAACAGTTTCATTAGTTCCATAATAATCATTCTACAATAAAGCAAGATCCAAAAGATATTCCAGTTGTGATAATCCAGATAATCCAGTTATGATACAGTTTAAAAATTACAGTTTAGAATTGAAATCCAGTTAAACATTTATGAATATATATATAGTCAACAGAACAAGCATTTATGAAATAGTAACAAAAAATTGATTGCTTTTCAAAACGAGAAAAGTTAAATCTCATTTTTTATTATATCGATTTTTTTCGAATTTTGCTTTTTTGGAAGATATAATTGCTTTTCGTCTCTCAAAAAACCTTAACTCATACAAAGAATAATTAATTAATAATCAAATTTAACAAGTTTATGAAATACTTAATAGTCTTAACACTATCAAATGTCAAGCTATAAAGCAGAAACTGAGCTCAGTATCCATTTCACACCTGTTAGAAACCATACCATTTGTTATTGTGAACCATTAGAAAAGATTTTCGAATTTCGATTTCTGTTCGTTTTTTGTTTCAACAAAAGACCACTCAATCGTTACGACGCCAAACTCAGTTGTAAAACTAAGCACGTAATTGTGCTTTTACGCGTCTGGGTTCCACAGAGATATCTTTTGCGTGTTTTGGAGCCTTTTAAAACTGAATTACACAAAGAAATGATGCCTACATGAAAAACCCAGAGGTTATTTTTTTAAGTGGATTTCGGACACAACCTTGTTTTGGCCGTTGAAAAGGTTTCCGTTAAATCTTGCTAGATTTCAAAATTTAGTCAGTGGATTCCGTAGTAAGTTTTTTTTTTTTTTTACCAGATTCCACTAATTGTCAGTGAGTTCGACAATACATTTAATTCTTTCGTCCTTGGATTCCACAAACATACTTAGTAAACTATAAAGTAAAGAAATGAAAAACAAAAAAACCAAATGCGGAATCCACAGACAAACAGTGATATCCTGTGCCACTCCGCTTCAGTTTATTCCGACTAGTAAAAGGCATTTGTGTGTGAAATCCTAAACAAACTTGCTTTAGCATTTGTCTCTAAACTTCGCAATGTCACTGGATTCCAATTTTTTGCTCGCTGGCCTTTTTTGCTCGCTGGATTCCAATTTTTTGCTTCAACATTTGTCTTCCGCTTTCATCAGAATTTTGACTTAACTTTTTTTGGAATTTGCAAAATTTAACACTATTTATGCGGATCCCAGGGGCAATGAATGCGGAATCCAAACCATTACCAAAGTACCTGAGCTTCTTAACCTCTTAAAGACAAAATTTGGCAACAAAAAAGCAAATAAAAGATGCCAAATGAACAAAAGAAGCGCCCTATGCATGCAAAATTGTACATTTTGGATCATTTTTGTTGAAGCAATTTTATCTTCAAATATAAATAGCTATTTGCAGCCACTTTCATCAATCTCTCTTGGCACGAAAATATAAATAAATAACTACTTCTTTTCAAGTCGACTATTTGATACATTTTCTCTTCTTGAGTACTTGAGTTTTGCCCCTAAAGCAACAAAACTGCTCGTTTTACATCCCATAGTGTGTTTGAAGTATTTTTAGGTGTCAATTTTAGCAAAAAATTTAAATCTAATGTGAAATAGAGCCTAAACCTAATCAGCGAGTTCAAGTTCAACAATACTAATTGTATTTTTTTCTTGCAGTTCACCGCTCTGACCAAAAAATCAAATTCAGAAAACTTGGCAAGGGTGAACACTGTTCTAAGAGAATAGCGCACGTTAGTGAGTGTTTTTCGTAATTGAGATTTTTTTCTTTTGATCTACACTGCCTACACTGCCAATCTATCAATTCGGATTTTTTTAGGACTTTTTGTACCAGACTGTTTTCGTTCATTTGTCTGCTTTATGAACTCATGTTTATTAGACTTTTTTGTTTCTGACTTTTTTGTATGGGACTATATGACACACAAAATTATGAAACGTTTTTTATAATGTTATTAATAACATATTATAATAAAAATTGGCAGAGAAGCTCTTTTTCCAATTATTGGTTGTGAAAATTGAATCAGAAGTTACCACGGCGACAGTTTTTTGTTTTAAGCCAGAATTTGACTTACCAAAAATTGTTTTCCGAGCTTGACTTATAATAATCGTTTAAAAAATCATAAAAATTTGCAGCCCTGTTGTAGTTAAATTGTATAAATAACAAACTTGGCAAACTAGCAATTTTATTTTTTAGCGTAAGTCAGCGTGCAATTTTTTAAAACAAATGATTGTAGCAAAGACATGGCAATTGAGAAAATAGCCTTGAAAATTTAAAATTCAGATACAGAATGTTGATGACCGGAATAAATTTTACCCTTCATATGGTTTTAAAAAACCAGACAGATTGTATCAAAGCAAAGTTTTGATAATGGGAGTGACTTTCCTTAACTTGTTTGAAGTAGTTTCTGACAACAAAAATGATTAAATATTTTTTCTAACACAGATTCTATACTCAAAATAGAATAAATTTTTTTTTA